ACACGTTTGTCCAACCAACTTTCAAACCCTCACATTCCCACGTCAAATCCCATGGAGTATTGACAAACCTCCAGTGTTCGGGAGTTTGCATTGGGCTTTTGGTTTCTTAGCAAACAATATGAATATTCCTGACGGATAAGTTGCACACAGGTTAAGGCTGAAAACTACGGCACGCTGTGGATGAAACTCAGTTTCCCGAGGTCCTTAAGCAGTTTGTCTGTTTTTCTCTCCAATGGACAAACACGAGTGCTTGTAATACGCGCGCACACACGTGACGGCACTCATGCACCCCGGATTGGTGTTTTTCTGTTTGTGTGTGTGTGCCTGTATGCGTTAGCATGGTGGCGGGCTCACGCGGATATCGGTACGAAACGGTTTTTGGCCAACGAGTAATAGTGAAATGAGGTAAAATGATGCGCACGACAAATCAGAGAATGACAAAAGCTCATAATGTTAGTGAAGCAGCCAACCACATGAAAAAACGATTATCATTCGTTTCATCAGAACCGACAAAAGACAAATACTGCGAGATATTAAAATCTCGTCTAATTTCTTCTAAGGAAGATTCTTTTTGGTCGAGTTCGGAATAATTACTCCCCTGACGCTGTTCGAGAAGAAGAGACCTTCCTGCAAAGGACGCTGCTGGATATCGATTATCCAGAGAAATGTATTGATGTGCATAGCAGATAAAAGACACCGGTTGACCCCGTCTGCGAAAAACCGAAGAAAAGAGTCTTCCTCAGACTCGCCTTTAAAGGTGATCATATAATAAACGATGTGCGTCAAAAGCTCAAGGCGGCACTTTGTCGAAGGTTTCCTGCCGCACAGCTTCGATTGACACAGTATACCCAAGGACTTAGTTTAGACAATCGAAAACAGAACCAGCCGAACAAGTCTGGTTCACATATCTTCTACCAGTTCACCTGCAGTTGCTGTCACTTACATCGGCAGAACGAATCGGCTGCTGGCACAGCGAATGTCTGAACATATTCCTAAGTAGTTGGCGCAATCGATGATGCAATAAAGTCTTATAGATCAAACTAATAAGACAAATTCAAGGTCATCAATCGCAAAACATCTCATGGCATCTGGACACATCTTTGACCAACAAATGTCGTTCAAGCCATTATTACGTAACATGAACCCCAGGATTTTGTCGTTTAGCGAAGAGGTGCTAATCAATCACGTAACTCAATCTTGTGGGCACAAACGTTTCTTACATAATGAGTTTTCAAGGCATGGTGTACCCTTCGGTTGGCTGCGCTACATTCTCTCCCTCTCGGAATTGTTTTGTTTTTGTGAATAAAATTCGAAAATTTTGTTAACGGTTAACAGAACCGCTCCATACATGGTATCTAAGTCTCTTGAGTGAGCACACTCAAACACACCCGATCAAGGCTTTCAACCAAATCAGAGTGAGCGCTAGCTCGGAGTATTCGGG